CAATTTATCCAACAATAATCATTCTTGTTCTGACTTTACTATTTTATCCAACTTATTTTCTATCTTTTGCTTCAAAATGGGTTGAATCATATCTCAAAAAGTTTGAACTTGGCTAAAAAAACCATGGTAACAATTTGTCCGACATACATATGCCAAAAAATATAGAATTACTAATTTATAAGCAAGCAGTCATCATTTATTAAATTAATATTGGACGCTAAACTAACTTACCAATTAGAAACTTAATCAAATATTTTCTTGAAACAATAACATCAAAAATCGAGAAGCCTATTTAATTTGACAAAACCAGTGGTAATAAGTTTGGTTCATAGACATTATACAAAGAAATATTTTAAATTAATGTCACAACTNAAAAGTTTAANGAAGTCAAGAGAAATATAAATCACGATTTCGCCCAATCCNAGTAATACTAAGAAGTAACATTAAAATCATATTATTTATTTAGGGCATATTTACACATGAAAAGTATAGACAATTTATGTTGTTTAAAAAAAAATATAAATAGCTTAATGGAGTACAAAATACTAAATTCCATAGACTACTTTTGTTGGAATAATGGTTTTTTAGTATTTATTAGAATTTTAAAAATAAATTTTAATTAATTGTTTTGCTACTAAGTGAGTCAATGTCGATAAAAGGCCATTATTTTTCAATAAGAGGTAAATATCTAATTGCTGTTTAAATATTTTAATATGTCAATTAGTGAGTTATTTAGTTGCTAAAAACCNGAAACAAGTAAAATATATAATTAAATGACATATGTAGATCTTTGCCGATTTGTTATTTAGTTAATTATGAATCAAAATCAAGTACAATTATCTATTTAAAAATAATGATAACTCAATTAAGTAATTATGTATTTAATTAGTTTAATATATGTCATCGTTGTTTTAAAGATATGTCATATTTTTTCAAAACACATAACCTAAGTAAATAATAATACTTTGGTTTTAATAGGAAGGGGATCCACGAAACCCATAAAACATCAAAAAGAAAATCAGAACAATATTCAAGTACAACATAACACAAAACAAACGGTTGTTAAAAATACATTATTATACAAACAAAACTACAAAATAAGAACAAATACGAAAGAACTTTCTATTGTAGAGAAAGAAACTATAGCCGTCAGAGAAAAAAGGAAGAAAGAAAAGGTGATTTGAGTTTACTCCCTCTCCGATGTCCGGTGCTTTTGTCGGCATCGTGAGAGGGAAAAGGTTGTAAACTAGTAGTTTCTACGGTCAACATGAAGTCTAGAAGATATCCTAGAGATTTTGGTCAGAAGACGAGGCGATGTTATTCTTGTTAGGATTTATTGAGTTATTGTGATTCCCTTGATTGGGTTTAGTTTTTTTTTGGTGAAGTTTTTGGTGGAGGTTTTTTCCTCGTAGAAGTTATGTTAGTTTCTAGTTAATTTTGGCTACATATTTGATTTAAGTTTTGCAGTTCAAACTTGTTCAACGGCGGCTTCACTGAAGCTAACTCGGAACAAAATTGATAAAAGCAATCAAAGAAGGAGATTTATCTAAATTAAGAGAATTGTTATCATGTTATTGTAATAGATTTTGGAAGTCCGACTGCTATTGTGGATTCGGGAACACCTAATTGTCTATCTTCGATTCGAAACAAGATCATCTTAGTATCGCTAATGTGTCGTCAACGATTATTATCTTCACTTCATTTCCGGTGTGGAAAGGACCATTAGTTTCTCTTTGTATTTCATATGTTGAACTTCTTCAATGATGTAATCTATTTTAAATCAGTTTCAATAAAATAAAGTGTTAAAAACAAAAAGAACAAATACGAAAAAGAGAAACGATGGAAAAAAAAAACAAATAGGAAAGCAATGGCGTATTGCTGAATTCTTATATGGAAGGTATATATAAGAATCGAACAAAGCATAGATAACGATGAGAATTTTGTTGATATCATCAAAAATTCGATATATAGATATATATCAATAATTTAATAAAAAGTAAATTAAGTATCGAATATATCTATAAAAATTAAACCATTTAATATTCGATTGCAATTTTTTAATATATCCGTTTAAAATATAAGTTAAAGACAACACAAAAATCCGATGTAATAAAAAAATAACTCTCATTCTCGTGCATTCTCACCTCTGATATAAGATAATAGATTATTTTTTAATGATTTAATCTAATT